AAAAATAACTTTTTCTGAAAAACCCAAAACAAAAATGTTTGTCACGTACTGTAAATTTTTTGGGCCTCACTTTATAAGCTGAATATATTATATTATCTAAAATAATTATTTTAATATAAATTGAAAATAGATGTAACTGAGACAACCGGTATAGTAATATATACAGGGTGTCCCATTAGTGCGTAATTATTAGATATTTCAATTTATGTTATAAATACATAAACAAGTTTCAAATAAAATTTATATGTATTTAAACAAGACATATTTTAAAAGGGTTTTACGTTTTTTTCTGGAAAATAAAAATGTATATTTTTTTTAATACAAAACCCTGCATAATAATGTATAACCCGCACCATACACAATGATTATATCACATGTAGGAACAAAGAATGAAATCAAAATAAATTTAACATATTAATTTTTAGTATTTAGGTTGGTTGGTATTTCTGAACTTCAACGTAAACTTGAATGAAATTAGAACCTGTCCTATTTATCGTGAAGATTCCTTGAAGAAATTCGCGAATTTATTCACGTGAAATAGATTTAGAAAGACACCAAGTTTTAATTCAAGAGAGAGACGTCAAAAACTAGCTAAAATATAGGTAGTAAAACGCCCTGTATACGAAAACGGAGAGAGATAGAAAATTGAGACAAGTACCATCGAAAAAAGACAAAAATTTACTATAAAATAAAGTATTTTGAAAATAGATTTAGTAAGACACCAAGTTTTAATTCAAGGGAGAGACGTCAAAAACTTGATAAAATATAGTAAAACGCCCTGTATACAAAAACGGAGAGAGATAGAAAATTGAGACAAGTACCATCGAAAAGAGACGAAAATTTACTATAAAATAAAGTATTTTGAAAATAAATTTAAAAAGACACCAAGTTTTAATTTAAGGGAGAGACGTCAAAAACTAGCTAAAATATAGTAAACCGCCCTGTATACAAAAACGGAGAGAGATAGAAAATTGAGACAAGTACCATCGAAAAGAGACGAAAATTTACCATAAAATAAAGTATTTTGAAAATAAATTTAGAAAGACACCATGTTTTAATTTAAGGGAGAGACGTCAAAAACTAGCTAAAATATAGTAAAACGCCCTGTATACAAAAACGGAGAGAGATAGAAAATTGAGACAAGTACCATCGAAAAGAGACAAAAATTTACTATAAAATAAAGTATTTTGAAAATAGATTTAGTAAGACACCAAGTTTTAATTCAAGGGAGAGACGTCAAAAACTTAATAAAATATAGTAAAACGCCCTGTATACAAAAAAGGAGAGAGATAGAAAATTGAGACAAGTACCATCGAAAAGAGACGAAAATTTACTATAAAATAAAGTATTTTGAAAATAGATTTAGAAAGACACCAAGTTTTAATTGAAGGGAGAGACATCTGTTGAATAATTCTATATTATCGTTGTTATTGTGTTCAAATCTATTATTTTTTTATCTTTTCCTTAGTATATTTTTCTTTTTTAATGCATTTATTACAATAAATATTACAATCTTAGAATAATTATTATTAATGTTAAATTTATTTTTATGCGTCTTAATTGTAATATACAAATGAGGGTCCATGCACAGCCTATGTTGGTTTCAATGGACCTAGATCGATCTTAATTTGTTTATTTATAATATATATGTTATAAACCTGTTTGATATGATATGATTGTCCAAAAAATTAGGCCGTTCCAAAACTAAAATAAAATACAGGATATTCCATTTAAAAAATAAACAATTTTATTTTCCAAGCAGAAACGTAACATCCTGTATATCCAAACATATTTTTAAACTATTTTTTAAATTCATATAACTCTTATTTAAAACTTGTTTATTGTGTATCCATAACACAAATTGATTTATTGAGCACTAATGGGACACACCCTTGTATAAACAAATAATATTCAGTGTATATTTTGACTTTCCACGTATGCGGTAAGAAAAAATTTTAATTTAATAAGTAAATATAATAATATTTGACATATATAATATTTTTTTCAAATAAATCAAATATAAAAAGTTTTACATATATGGTGCAATGTTTTTTTGAGTCTCACTGTATATGATTACAGTTATGTTACAATCTAAATGTAGCTAACTATTATTATATTAAAGAAATCAAATTTAAAATAGTTATTTCAATAGAAATTCAAAATAGCAAAAAATGAGACAACCGGTATAAGTACTACATATTAATATTCTGTTTATTCCTTTTATCTAAGGTTTGTTCCCCCTCTAGATTCAACACTGATATCGACTGCTTTATTTTTATTGAAGAAAGGAAAGTTAATAGGTACCTTAGTACATGATCTGCTCATGTATTTTCTATATATCGTCGCCTTAATATGTCTAAAAAATGCTAATTGTCGTTTTTAATACCAAATGAACTATGCTGCCCCTCTTTATCTCATAGAGAATTATTGTAATACCATCCGCAGTGGTATATTAGTAAAAATATTATAAAAAATACACTTCTAATTTAGTTCTGAAGGCAAAATATATTTTCATGAAAAATTATTCACATTTTGTGACATACAAATAGTTCTGCATTATATATTTATCTAAATACTAGTTTTAAAACCTCAAAACAATTCCATAAAAACTTTCATTATATTATTTGGTTTAAATTCTTGACAATTATAGTAAAATACGAAATAAAAATTATAGGTATATCTAGGTACTGTTTTTGTTATTAAAGAAACATACCTACCTATAATAAAATTTCAAAAAAACTAGTAAATCTTACTATTTATATAAAATATGAATTATGTTATTACACAATAATAATTTCTACCTATATGACATTGAAATATGACAGATTCAAAGACGACTCGATACGATTTGAAAATGATTTCTTGGTTAAATTAAACTAAATAAATAATGTACCTACTAGTATTTTCGAAATAGAAATATACCTATACCTAATAGAAATAAAATCATGTAACAATTTCGAAATATAATCAAATAGTTTTCAGAAAGCATTCAAAGCGTTTCACCTAGTACAGTTTGATATCAAAAATTAACCCTGCACTTAGCAGTTTTGAAAGTTAACATAGAAAATAGCTCATACATACCTTGTAAATATTTTGCTTTCTGGATAAAACACACGATATTATTATTCTCAATAGAAATATATAGTTTTTAATCAAAATTAAAATTTAACTAAGAGTTCCCGTTTGAATCATAGAGACGCGCACAAAATGTCTTAAAATCAAATGTCAAAGAAAAAAGAAATTTCTGATTGGCCAAAGTGACAGGTAACTCAGTGACGTTACTCGCCTGCTAGATTCTAGAAATAGGCAATGTCTAAGATTACGGTGTCCGGTATAATAGCGATGTATATTGATAATAAAATAAAATATTTAAATAGAGAAAGTAAATAATTTGCAAATTGAAGATGATCATACGGAGGATAACTAAAAACTTTTTGATTAGATGGACCGTACTTAATACATTTGATAATTTGATTAGAAAGTCATCAAATATTTTTTAGAAGGAAATACATTTTTTTATTAAACTTTTCTTGAATTCTTCAGGTTTTCTGATAAAGAATACGAAAAATTGTATTTATATTTCATAATATACAGTGGGGTGCAAAATTTCACTCTTCGTATGGTAAACTTTTTTATTGTTACTTTCTCATTCTTGACAAAAGTTGTTAAATAGTCAAAAACGTACGTCAATTATGAAATGTTTGAACCATATACGAGGGAGGTCACATAAATATGGGTATAAAATTATTTTTTTTTTAATAATTCAGAATTTTCTTGGTAAATACTTTTTTGACACAGGTTTTGAGTTGTGTAACACAAACGTATTGTGTGTTGCCTATGTCCAGGGTCTAAATTCTCTGCGCTCACAACTGTGAACTGAGCGGCCCACAAGAAAGTGACGGCGACGTGGTTGGTTAAAATAAAAAATAAGAAGATGTCAATTATTACTTTGGACTTTTGATTCTTCTTGCATGTCATTATCGTAGAGTGTTCTGTGATTATCGTTTTGAATTTAATTCGTTACATATAAATCATTTTGTTTTGTTCGTTCGGTACTAAAATCCTGTTTGTTTTCAAAATAAATGTTCTAGGAGCTTAATAAACTGCATATCCTTTCAAGGCCCAGTTGTACCACTCCAGTTTAAGGGAGGTTCAACTAAACCTGGTTTAGACTGTGACAAACGTCGTACTGACTATATCCAAATGTCACAATCAAAACCAAGTTTAGTTGATCCTCGCCTAAACTTAAATGGTACAACTGGGCCTAAAGAACCCTCAAGGGAAAAAAATCTGTTTCCCTCAGTTGCTGTTGAATTACAAGCCTACTTATTTATTTAATTGCCGCGTTTGAGAATCCACATCGGGGGGGTTATTTTCAAACTCGAGAGAAAGGAGTGCTCTATTGAGAGAAAGGAGTGCTCTATCGAGAGAAAGGTAGTATGTGACTTGGCCTTGTACACACATCGGTTATGGGTACACACATGGAGGAAGGGTACCCACGCCCCTAATCACGTGATCAAATTCTCCTGAGAACATGAATTCTCTCGAAATAAACCGAGAGAAAAGGTCAGTGAGTAGTCATGAGGTAATCACTGGTTTTCAAAATACAGTTTCCACGTTGACATACAAATGAGTACTCACACGGTTTGAAAATAGGTCCCCGGATGCATCTGAGATGTTGTGAATTTTGTATCACGTGATAGAGAATTAGATCTGAATCTAAATGTAATAAACAAACGCTCTAGACTTTATTGGTCACGTGATAAAATGTCAATGACAAGTTAGAAGTTTAGAGTTTTTAAATTTGACTTTTGAGGCTACAAATCAACCTAAATTTGAAATCTAAACAAAAATTAAACAAACTAATCACTTTTATATTCATGCTAGCACAAACAAAGGATAAATTGACAAACTTGGCTTCACAGAATACCTACTTTCTGACATGGAGCGAACAACTCATTCACATTCATATGAAATCGAGATGTAAACAATAGCTTTGTCCCAACTTCTCACAAAACCGTAATATTACGGCATCGTCATGCGCAGTAAATAAAAACCTATCAATAAAGCCCAAAGTCGAACGGTTTTTATTTATGACGATGACCGTAATATTACGGTTTTGTGAGATGTTGGGACAAGTGATGTATAAGGAGTTCTAATTATGCTCTATACACTGAAAGTTAAGATTTATTTATATTCTGAGGAAAAATAAACATTGTTTTCGAATTAATAATTTATTTTAGTTAATATATCTAAAATCAACACCCAAATTGAATAATAGGAATGTAGATTTTTATTTTAATAATACAAATATAAAATAATCAGTCCTGATGGGGAGAATAAAATTTTGTAGACAAAATTGGTGAAATAGGATCCCCAAATCTCTCAGTAAAGGAATCTTTGTGGCTTTTAGATCTCATTTCAATAGCTTTGTCATAAAACCTGGAGAGTTTGACTGCATTTGAAGTACCTGCTGCCAAATACCTCGTTTGTCTACAATCCATTACAATTTCATCACATCCTAAATGGCTTGCCATGATTTCTAGACGAGTCTTACGAGCATCTAATTGGTCTAATTTTGTACCTATCACAATATATGGAATCAAAGTGTTGCCTATGAAACTTTCTTGATCAAATTCATTAACTAGGAGTGATGAACTAGATACTATACTAAGACTATTTGATTCTTTTCGTTCTCTTTTATTTCTTCCGATTTCTCGAACCCATTTGTGTAAATTTTTTTCTGATTTACCATTCGTTAAATCGTGTACCAGTATCGCACCGTGACAAGGATTGTAGAACACTGGTCTAGAATTTCTATGAGAATGGCTTCCTCCGATGTCCCAGAATTCTATGAAAAAAGTTTTCTGTTCCTTCATGCCCTCTTTGTATTCATGTAATTTTACTTCTACTGAGCAACCAACGGTCCAACTTGGGGACCTGAGTGGTTCGTTGTGTGCGGCTAAATGAACGAAGGATGTTTTACCTACACCTGAATCTCCTAATACTAATATTCTAACTCTGTCTATAGCGGACATTTTTAATGTTTTTAATTTTGTTTGAAGAAAATTGGGTACGTGTTTATCTTTGAGGTTATGTTTTTTTTGTATTTTTTTTTTTTGGCAGGTCAGGTGCAGGTGGGTTCGACTATTCAGGTTCGTATTTATTATAAACAAAACTCAGCTGAGTCGAACTTGGATAAGTCGTCGGTTATATAGAGTGAATTTAGAGATGAGTAGTAACAAATCCGTAAATGTACATAACAATTACATATCTGAGATGTAGTAAATCTTTGATCACGTGATTCAGTATACGTAAATGTAATGGGACAGATGTGTCTGATGTGGATAAAAAAACGCTCGAGATGTAAAAAATGCATTCGATGTGGATTCTCAAACGCAGCAATATTTGCTAATATCTTGGAATACAGGAAGGAGGAATCCTAAACGACCGTGAAATCGCCATGCATTGTGTTCGGTCTGCCAAGTTCCTTTAACACATTTGACTCCAAACGACCCTTTTAGCGTTCGGTGTAGTCCGATTAGTGACAGTTCAACTCGCTTAAATGTCATTTAAAAGCACCCTAAAAAAACTCCGCTCCTGTTCCAGCCTATGGCGAAACCGAACGCGACTTTTGTATCTAATTTTGACAGTGAACTAACTAGACGAGTATGGCGACAAGTGTTTCCGGTCTACCAGTGACGTACCGTTATTAAGGGGTGTAGAAAAGAAAATAATAAATTCTCATTTGCAGGTAAAATGTCGTGAGGTGAAACAAGTTCAATTTTTGGAGGTGTTCTTGTAAGGCGGCTTCAAGGAGCGGATGTTGCAACTTGGTTTTCATTACAACGCATTGTTTTACCAGCTGGGGGTCGATTCTCGACTCGTAGGAATATTTTCCTATAGGAATTTTTGACATTTTTATATACATCGAAAATTTATGACAGTTTCCTACATATAGGAAAGTGTCACAAATTCCTATAGGAAAAGGTTCCTACAAGTCGAGAATCGACCCCCTGATGTTGTAGGTTGGTTTTCATTACAAAACGAACGATTCTATTACATTTTATTTAATTCAATAGTTGTTTTTTTTTTTAATTATATCTGTAAAAATATAGATTTATTTGCGTAGTGAAACGAACACGTTTTCTCAGCTTGAATGAAACGGCGCAATTTTTGACATAAAAACTTTTTTTTCTAGCATAAGTTAGGTAACAATCCCACTTTAAGCTGTTCTAAAGAGAATGACTTGCAAGATCAAATAGGGTGTCTTTCAACCCCAAGGAGAAAATTAAATATCTGTTCCTCGACATAAAATTATATTTATTTTCTAGCAAGGTTAAATGGGGTGTTTGTCAACCCTAAAGCGAATTTTCCGACTATTCCGCTAATTTGAAATAAACTTAAATGATATTAAACACTCGCATTGACAAAAATAACAAATGCAAGCCTATGAATTTATTTTTCCCTTTGATATAATAACACCAACTTACCTGGTCTGTTCTTATTGCAAACGAATTCTACCACAATCCTATGGCTTTCGCTAAAGTTTAGGATTTAAGATTGACAGTTAAGAAATAAATAACTAAAAATCAATATCTAGCATTTTAATTAAACCTATTGTCTTACAAATTAATAATTCATACATTGTTATATAAAGAATGTAACTGCCTTATAATCTGGTTATTATATCCTTCTAAAACCGGTTTTCCAGAGACATATTTACAACTGTCAAATAAATATTGTAATGATGTTTGATACCAAATATTTTTTGTACTTGTACTCTGTAAATCCAAGCTATTTAACTGAAAGACACCGAGGTGAAAGAAATGGCCATCGGTATGAACGCACTGGAGAGTAATTGGTTCTGGAAGTTTCTTCACATCTTTCTAAAAAGTTAAATTATATTTCTCTAAATATAAATATGTTGCTTTAAATTTTAAATTATACAAAATGGAATAAAGTTATAAAACAATAACACAAAAGTATGTAGACAATAAAGATTAAACTGTAAATTGTTGCCCACAAATATAATTGAAAATCATCTTTGTTAGTTAACATTTTCGATAATTATTTAATTAGATATACACAAAGTCAATAGATGTTTACTAACAGCTATGAAAAAGTAAATGTCAGTATTCAGAAATGTATTCAATTGTTTTAAAACTGCAGTCACCAGACTACTGAAAGTTTGTGTTTGTAGAGTCAGTGGCGCAGCCTCGTGGGAGGTTTTGAAGGTCAGAACCCCCATGGATGATCCTCGCATCACTATTATTATAGTACTCAAAAACCCCTCCCATGAAAAATGACTGGCTACGCCATTGTGTACAGTAATTGCTTTTTTTTTAGAGTCGAAAAATATCGTTGCCACAGTTTCAACTAATCCCAAACCTATGATTTCATAGATTTTGAAATTTTGTCAATTTTTAATTTTTTTTCGTTTTCCATCTTCATTCATTCATTAACAAGAGGGACTAAAAGAATACTTTTTGTTCCTAAAGCGCATAACATACTTTTGATTTACTTAATAACTCACCCCGTATCTCTGTCTTGCATAACTTGCTGCTACAGTAAACGTTTTAAGAAGTGATCTTCCAAAAATTTGTTGCTCAGTCACTTCTTCCTCGTATAAATTTTTTACAAATTCTTTATCAAAATGAATAATAATTGTATGTGGATGGGACGCTTTTACAGTTGATTTAATAGCTGAAATGTAAAAATAAAACTACGAGTCCTTCAAATATCATTTTTAAATTGAACCATTTATTAAATAATAGAATAAAACAAACTAAATCATCAGAACTCTATTCATCTACAACTTTTTCAGTATAGATTCAACCAGTCTACTAAATGAAGTAAATACATCTATAATATTTTAGTACAGATCTGATCAGAATAACATTCGGGTTAAACCATGAGGGAATTTTGACAATGTAGCTGAATTAGTAAAAACATTTTCATTATCTGATTTTGTGATTGTGATAGCAGGTGCTAATGATTTTGACATGTCCAGGGTCCCTAAATTCAGAAATATTTGCTCGAAATTGAAACTATGTACCCACACTAACTTTAAAATGGTGTCTGTTCCAATTTTGAGAAGACACAGTGACAAAAACCTAATCAAGAAATTTAATTTGAAATTGGACCATTTTCTGGATAAGTTGGACAATTATACAGAAGGTAGAATGTTATATATAAATATCAATTCAAACTAAAACTGTCTGATATCATACGAAAAATTAGTGTAGCAATAAGTAATAGCAAAAATGTCTGTAAAAAATTAAAATTTATTAACATTGTGAAATCTTAAAAATACAAACTGTAACATGTCTACTAACTTGGGCTCTTTAGATTTGACAGGTTTAAATAATTTTACTGTTCTTCCTATCATTGGGCTCTATAAATTTGACAGATTTAAATAATTTAACTCTTCTTCCTTTTGATAATAGTAACTTGGGTTCTATAGAATTGACAGGTTTAAATAATTTAACTATTCCTCCTTTTCATAACGTATCTATCACACCCACAGTTAATAAGGATTTTTCCACAAAGTCTCAAACTCAAGATCCAAATATATTTAAATGCTGAGAGCTTGGTGGCCCACATTGATGAAATCTCTAATTATGTGTTGTCAAAAAAACCAAGTTTAAAATGTGTTTCTGAAACTAGCTTGACTGAGGATATTTATGATTCAGAAATAAACATTGACCGATACAAAAATTATAGAGTTGACAGTAAAAGTAGACACACAGGGGGTGCTTTAATTTATGTACAAAGTAAACTGAAGGTTTTTAAAATATTTTAAATTTTGTATTCCAAAAATTTGTTGGATTGTTTCTGTGATAGTAATATTAGGAAACAAATTTTTTTTAATTGTATCTTTATATAGGTCACCTAGTAGTAGCTGCATAAATTTTTTAGATTGTTTTAGCACTTGGGCTGAAGAAAATTTATGTGATAATTCTCAATTAGTTATTGTTTCTGGAGATTTCAATATTGACCTGTTAACTAAAAACGCAGTGCGAAATTAAGTGATATTTTGATTGATACTGGATTAAAAAATATTGTTACAGAATGCACAAGACCAAATAGAAGTTGTAGAGGTACACTAATAGATTTAGTTATAACAAATAATGACTCGGTTTCAGCTGAGGTTATCAAAACGCCAAGAATTTCAGATCATTTTATGCTTTTAACAAAGGTGCTATTAAATAGTGATCAGCGATCTGTTTTTGAAATTGAAAGCAGAGATAAGGGCTTAAATTTTGATTTAATTAATAACAAACTTTCAACATTACCATGGAATCAAAGAATACCTACCCAAGAAGCGACACTAAATGGGTGATTCGTGGACAAAAAAGTGCCAAGTTTTCTCAGTGTTTTAGAGGTGGTTTAACGTCAAACATAGCTGTCAATTTATGTAGAGCAACGTTTGGTATAATATTATTAGCATTTTGTGAAAACCGCAGTATAGTTAAGTAGTTGTATTTAACTAAGTAGTAATTAGAAATTAGATAGTTTTAAGATTTTTATTACATAAAAAAAATACATTGCGCTCTTCGTAAATTTTAATGAACGTTCTTGCATCTGGCTGTAAATGTTTTATTTTTAAAATGTCTAAATCAGTATTAACTATAATGATAATTTACGACTACGTAATATGCATCACTTAATTTCTTATTCTTTTATTTAAAATGTATTTTTTGTTTTTTAAACCATTTAAATTAAAACAGTAAATAAACAATAATATAAAACAATATTTAAAATATATGACAAACTCATTTCGAGGGACCAAGTCATTGCTATCAGGATGCAATCAAAATGCATGCAGCTACCTACAGTACTTCTGGATATGTATCGTGTGAAGGGTGGTTTGCCCTATGCACTTAGGCCTTACTAGGCCCATTGTGTATCCTCTTAAGATAATAGGAATCCTAGAAGGTAAGTCTGTCTACAGATTAAATGTAGGTGACAACGTCGCCAAGAGGCGCTTCTCTTATATCGGCCGGTGTTAACAATACTCGCTGGAAACTAATCTTATAATAAATAAGAGCGTCAGGTAATCAGATGATATGCTCAATAGTCTCATCTTCTTGTTCGCACTCCTTGCAGGGTGCGGATTATGACAGCCCCATTATATGGATATGCTTTCGTACGTGGCAATGAATAGTCCTAATACATGTGATCAAACGCAGATTATGTCTAGTCATAGTGAAGTATTTGTTTGCTGTAGTGTTGTCAGGATAACTTAAAAGCTCCCTGGTAACTCTGCAGTTTCTGGTTTCATCCCATCTTTCCTTGAATTTCACAAGGACATGTTCTTTAATTAAATCTATCAGTACCTATGTTGTCAGTCCAATAGACGGGCCAGGTCCAAAAAGTATTTGGTTGGCTGCCTTCTTGGCTAGTAAATCAGCACCACGTTGTTGATGGATATACTCTTCCCAAAGCTTCGTGACATTCTAGTACTAACCCTTAGTAAATTCGTGGTATGTTCAGGGTAAGTAGTGCTTATCTGCTATCTGTATATATGCGCTTGTTCCTACCAGTGATATTATTGCTGGTGATTTATTTTGCTGCTATGACAATCTCCGTGAGCTCGGTTTAAGAATTTTGATAAATGACGGCTATTTATCAGATAGGAAGATGTCATGAGCCATATATCGTAATGCAATTGTAAAACTTTAAACTTGATTTTCTCGAAATAATCTTTTTGTGACATTACACCTTTATCCACTCGTGTCTTTAATTATGGAACAGTGGTGCAAGGATAATTCACCGTCTATCAATCACAAGAAGACATAAATGGTCGTTTTCACAAGGAAAAGGAAGAAAATGGAATTAAAACCTCTAAGCTCCTAAACATAAAACAACACTTTGCAACAGAGGTGAAGTACCTAGGTAGCTCCTTTGACAACAAGTTAACATGGAACTCACACGTGGAAAATAGAGTCAAAAGATCATACATTGCTTATGAACAATGCCGCCGAACCGTGGGGGGCACCTGAGGTTTCTCCCCCAGGGTCGTCACATGGACTTACATGGCCATCATAACACCTATTCTAACATACGGTGCAGTTGTCTGGGTACCGAAAGTCGTTCTTAGTCTCACTCCCCTTGATATTTACATCAAGGCGGTTGCTCTGATGATAATGACACTCCTCTGCACAGGTGGAATAGAAACTGATGTTTAGAATAGAAGATCCAGAAGTGGCAGCTACGATTCATATCTACACCCACAGTTCTAAAACAAAACAAGGCTCAGGATGTAGAATATACTCCGATTCCTTGAACCTCAACATAAAATAAGCTGTGAGCATGACAAACAAAAAATATACTATATTTTAAGTAACATATGCCATACAAGTCATTTTTTTTTAAAAATGTGACATGATACATTTATGTCTTCAATTGTTCTCAAAATTCCTTATTTGCAGGTTATTTGCTTACGCTATTGTGTAATGACTATCATTATTTGTAGATACAATAATGATATTTATTTTGTTATTAAAATCATCTATTTTACATAAAGAACATTATAACAATTTTCTATATGTCATTGTTACTTTAGTATGTGTTCAAATTCTTATGAACCAAACGACAAAAATTGATTAATTTTCATACGTTTCCCAGTGTATTAAGTTCCCATGTTTTAGTACATACGAATACTCATTCAGTTTCGCTTCTTGGGTAGGTATTCTATTCTTTGATGGAATTATCATATTTATGACATTAATGCAAAATATGATTTTGTAACAAATCTTTTAAACGAATTAGATTCTGTAGCGCCAAAAAAACAAATAAAAATATTTCCTTAATACAAAAAATGGTGGAATGAAAATGTAAAAGCTGCCACAAGGTACAGAGACCTTGCATATAAAAATTATTCACAAGAAAAAACAGAAAATAATTCAAAATGCATAGAAATAGGGCCGTCAAAGTAATTAGAACAGAAAAAACTAAACACATAGAGAAATATATTTACGAAAGTAGGGGAAATTCAAAAGAAATGTGGAAATATCTTTAATGTCTGATTCCAAAAAATAATAAGTCAAATAACTTAATTGAACTTGAACTAGAAAATATTTTTGACATACCAAATGCTCTTAATAAATTTTACATAAACAGTATCCAATCGATTGCTAGTATGATTGATCATACAATACCACCAGGTTATCAAATTTTAGACAGACACAATGGATATTTTCATGGAAAATTTCAACTATGTACGGTGGATTCTTTAAGAGACATTCTTTTTGCAATGAAAAATAAAAATAGCACAGATGACATTAATATCAATATTTTAAAAAACTGTTTTCCCAGCCAAAGTGATACGTAACTCTGACTCTAGGGAGAGAAAAAGTTGCGGCCCAATTATTTTTGTTTGCTAGCTCAGCGGAATTTGGTTCTGAACCACTCTTCAATGCCACTAGTAACAGAAGGATCACGGATGTCAAATTACCGCGATCCTATTTGATTTAATTGAATAAATAAAAAAAAAATAATATTAAAAAGATATTTAAAGAAAAGTTGGGCGCCATCTGTTAGTAGTGTATTGTTTTATTAATCTCCAAGGAAATAAGGCATACCTTTGTAATAAAAAAACCTTTTAAATTTGATAAATTCGTCATTAGTAATTTCAAAAATACCTAATGCTCTAAAAAATGCTATGATAGTGCCTGTTCCAAAGACAAAAAACGCAAATAAAGCTACATATTTAAGGCCTATTAGTATGTTAAGTTGTATCGAAAAAATCATTGAGAAGGTCGTTTATGAACAAATTGTTAATTTTTTAGAACAAAATAAACTTATTACTAGAATACAATCTGGCTTCAGAAGCAAACATAACTATTAATCAGCTATCCAGTGTGTTTTATATGATTGGAAATATAAATTTGATAAAAACTATCTAACATTGGCAGTTTTTATAGATCTTTAAAGGCCATTCAAGACTGTTGATCAAAACCGTTTTATAAAAAAATTTAAAAGTATGGTTATAGTAGAGCATCCATTGGAGTGGTGTGTGGATTATCCAAGAGGAAACAAAAGTTAAAAGTAAATAACATTTTGTCAAAGGAAATTAACTATGTCAGAGGTGTTCTTCAGGGAAATATATTGGGTCCCTTGTTGTTTTTAGTATATATCAATGACATTGTTGATTTCAAGGGTCAATGTGACATTCACCTGTTTGCTGATGATGCCCTAATATATTTTTCTTGTAAGGATTCAGATAATTTGGTAAGACTTGTTAATGAAACACTGCAACATGTTTACAAATGGTGTTGCAATAATTTGTTGAAATTTAACACAAATAAAACAAAATGTATGCTGATAAGTAGCAACTATAACTATACACAGTTTGTTGATAAACAATATAACATAACAATTGAAGGAAATTCTATACAGTTAGTAGAAAAATTCAAATACTTAGGGGTAATGATTGACAAGCAGATGAGATTCATAGATCATGCCAACACTGTTATCAAAACTATTGAATTTAAGTTAAATAGGCTGTTTTGCTGTTGGATCAGTCAGTTTTAAGTTAGAAATTCATTTGTGTAGATTAATGTAATATAAATTAGTACATAAGTAAATATTTATATAAATTAAATAAACATTAAAATACTTACGATATATATCATTAATTTTATAAATGTGTTCTTTATTAAAAGTAATTAAAGGATCAATAGGACTAATATCAGGTAAATCATAATTGTCAGTCGATTCATTGCTTATTGGAGATAAAGGTTTTATAGATGACAGGATAACATTTCTACAACATTCAAGTTGAACTAAACTGTCATTTCGTTCAAATGGGAATGAGAAAGGTAGATCTTCAAAAATGTATCTCTTTTTAACCACTTGACCATCACTGATAGATTCTATAAGGTTTAGAAACTTTTGTGTTATCAGCTTACTGAAAAACAAATAAATAAATGTTATCTATATTAAATATTAAAACTTTCTGTGAAACCAACCACTTAAAAATAAAAATTGTGACTCTTTTGTAAACTGATTATTAACTAGTTTAAAGAAAAACCAAAGGTTTCATACTCCCAACTTTGTTGATTAGTATTTATACAAATCACATATTATTACTCTGTAATTTCTTACTTTCTTCTATCTTGTGTAATCCCGTATGTTCTAGGGAAATTCCAAGCTGGTCTAGATGGATCTTTTATTATTGGTAATTTTTTCTGTTCCGCATCGAATAAATGAGAGTTAAAAATAATATATTTCGATATTTTATCCACATCTTTGGGCAATTCACTTATCTTAATTTTTTCTGGTAAATTTGTTTCAATTTCGATTGAATTTGTAACAATCTTGGCTTGGTTTAATCCCTCCAATAATACATTGTGGTCTTTGTAAGACATTAATGCTCTATCATGCCAATCTGGGTGTGTATGATCAAGTGGCACTGGAACATCCTTATAACCAATAACTTCAACCCTGAAATAAATTATAATGAGGTATATACAAGTAAAGACTATTTTTATTATTATTAATATAAAATCTGTTACTTGTACAACCCTTCTATGAATACTATCTTCCTGTAAATACCTGCAACAAATGAGCAATAAAAACATTTAATAATACACTTAATTTACCTTTCAAAGACTCGTTTTTCCTTTAGTACGTCGTCTGGTTGAAACACTCGAATTCCTCTTCTTTTGAGTGTTTCTTCGGCCCCCGTTTCAAGTGGCTTACGTTTCCCTTGAGTTACCCAATGTTTATAAAAATGCCAGCCGATGTGCTGTTTAAATAATACAGGAGATTTTCTCATTTTTCTTAGCAATTATGTAAAAATGTCTATTTCTGGTATTTATAAAATGACTTCTTTTATTCTAAGTTTAAATTCTCATTTTCGTATTTTCCTTCGATGAGAGGTTGAGGTTAGATTTTTTATTCTTCTTTTTTATTTACATTACATTTTGTCCACATGCGCTATCCGGCCTTTACCATTCAACTACACCAGTCGCCAAATTTAGATAAATTCACAGGGAATTTTCCTCTAACTACAGACATATATCTTTACTTCCTACATTATTCAAAATCATAAAAAGGCTTGTAAATACTCGAATTATTGAATTTAATTACTTACACAATTAAAAAAAAGATTATAGTTATTGCAAATACCTTAATAGGCGGAGGCCAAAATTGAAGAAGAAAGAAGAATAATATAACCAAATTGTTAATATTATTATAAATATTGTGATCAATAAATACACATACAATTAAAACTATTACATCGATTTGAATGAGATAAATATATGTAAGTAATATTAATTCAAACTAATGGGCCATTAGTGATGATTTTTCCAGATATTCTGATTGGCTGCCAGTGCGCATTCTATAGGAATATTACATATTTACCTTGTTATTTACAATTGGTAGAGATTGCATCCATTTCGATTCTTTCTTAATCATAGAAACATTACAGGTTCTTTAAGATTTAACCCTCTTCCTTGTGCTTTTACTACTAATCCAACCCTCCATTTCTATGCCCCAACCCCTCTATAAAGAACAAATTCAAGCATTTATAGGGATGTTGTGAAGCATTTAGCTTAGCTCAAATATTTATTACATTATCATACTAATAATAACCATATTAGTTCTATAAATTTAAAAACTTTTGATAATTAATATTTAATTTTTAGTTACTGTACTGTTTTTACATTGGCTATGAAAAGGCAAAATGTTAGAACATTGTCTTTAGTTGTTTGCACTTTTACATATTTGTTAATTGGTGCTGCAGTTTTCGATGCATTGGAATCTAAGGAGGAAGAAAGAAGAGATATATTGCTTAAAGGTAATTACATCACTACCGATAACATAAAATTTATTGATTTATTTGTTTTAGTATCCTCTAATGCACTAAAAAGAAAATATAATATGACTGATGAGGATTATCGTATGATAGAGCTTGTTATCATTGAATATAAGCCTCATAAAGCTGGTCCACAATGGAAATTTGCAGGAGCATTTTATTTTGCAACAGTAGTTTTAGCTATGATTGGCTATGGTCATTCAACTCCTGTTACATCAGGAGGAAAAGCATTTTGCATAGGATATGCAGTGGTAAATAATTATATTTAGTATATCAATGGCTAAGTTGTAATATGTATCCCAGGAAAATAAAATTTTGTGTAAAATATAAAACTTTTTAGAATTAATAAAAATTGAGCAATGATTGTGGACATAATTAAAAAAGACAGTAGGTAGGACTTTCTGTTGACCTATCAGGAAGAAACCCATGTTGTTGATCTGTAATAATTTTAAATTTAAATAAAAATGATAAAAATTTTACAGGGAATAGACACTGTGATAGGTTTATAATTTTCAAGAGCCATTGACTCACCTTTTTTAAAAATAGGTGATACTATACCAGTTTTAAGTTCTTTGGGGAATAATATGCCATTTTTTACAGACATATTGATTAGATATGCAATTGGTTCTGATATAAGAATAATAATAGTTTACTTGTCCTTTAGGATCATGTTACATGATATAGGATAAGTCATAATATATATGAATAAAAAATATTAAAATACAAATAAATATAGGTACAGTATAAAAAAAAATCTGATGTGTCCAACACATGACTTTCCTATCTAGTTATTGCAGGCTTTTTCCGGTTATTTTGTACAACCTATTGCAGCATCTCTATAAATGTTTAGAGGATAAACTAAATATATACATTGTCCACATACATCTACCGCGAAACATTTTTCTATAGATATTCATTGAAAATGAAAATACTGAAAAATTTAAATTTAGCACTTTTCCTACAATTTTTCCATTACGGTCCATTTTAAAAAAATCATGTATGAACAAATATTATAGAGATCGATATCGCAAACAACTTTTATTTCAACAATTTTCATAAAAATCAGAATTTTGCACATTTTGTCAAATTTTTCGAATACGGACCATTTCAGGAAATTTTTACATAAAGCAAAAATTATAGATAATAATATTAGAAGTAACTTTTATTTAAACAATTTTTTTCTCCAAACATAAATAACAGATATATTCCATAAAATATAAAAACGGCCTCCCATAAAGTACCCCCCCAGATGTTCCGACTTTGTCCAAAATCTAATAATTTCACGTCAGGCCGAAATAAAACTTAAGTTTAAAATTTAATGTTTTTTTCTTTATCCGTTTTTGAGTTTTCTTCAAATTTCGAAATTTACACATTTTCTCAAATATCTCGAATACGGTCCATTTTAGAGAATTTATCTATAGGATAAAAATTATAGAGAATTATATTACAAACAACTTTTGTTTGAACAATTTTTATAAAAAAAATATTTTTTTACATTTTGTCAAATTTCGCGAATACGGACCATTTTAGGAAAATTTTGTATATAACAAAAATTATAGATAATAAAATAAGAAGTAACTTTCATTTGAAGAATTTTCTTCCCCAAACGTAAATAACAGATATATTCCATAAAATATAAAAATGACCACCTATAAAGTACCCCCCCAGATGTTCCGACTCGGCCCAAAATCTAATCAGCTCATTAGACGCTGGAACAAAGCTTAAGTTTAAAATTTGGTGTTTTTCCGTGTATCGGTTCATGAGTTATGCGTTATACAGACACACACACAGACCCACACACACACACACAGACATCATCGCGAAAATAGTCAAAACGGATTCAGGGGACCTCAAAACGTAAAAATCCGTCGAAAACTCGAGGTCGAAAAAAATCATGATTCCTATACTTTCCTTATATCTGTATACAGATAGGAAAGTAAAAATGTATATATATCTTAGACTTGCACATTATATCTGGAGTTATCCAGTTTTTTTTATTTGTTTTTACAGCTCTTGTGACAACCAGACAATTTACTTCTATATAGTAATTTAGAATATTTAAGAATGTTTGATAGGCAAGATTTATGTTATCAAAATATTCATACACAGAATCAACATTTTCTACAGACCTACTAATTATTGTTTACACTTTCGAATAAGATAACATGCTTTTCTCTTGAAAATGACGCGTCATAGCGAGATGCAACAAATGTAGCTTTATTATAAAGAAAATATTGGTTTTCCAAATTTTATAGTTAAAAATGTTAAAAACTATCAACAAAAAAAAACTTAGGGCAATTTTACCCTAAACTCCCCCTAATTTACCCACCTATGAAAATTTTACCTAATTAAAACGTTTAGAAAATATTTGCAAAAGTGTGGTATCAGGACTTCACCTTTAACACCCTGTATCTCGGAAAAGAAACTTTTTCGGACCTATGTTTATATGAACTTTTACTACTATTTTAGGATGTAGATTACGCTGTTAAAATATTACCGTCCAATTTCGGGACACCCTGTATATCATCTATAACTATCAATAAATAAAAAATATTTGAGTTGTTTGGTTTAAAAATAGTATTCCTACATTCTTATAATATTAACAAGCCACTAAACTCCCAGTAGGCGGCAATTGATGACATACCAGTGTTCATTTAATTGTAATCCTATCCAATTCTATGATTATTCTTCAGCGCACGACATTGCCAAATTTATGTAGCGAACAAGGATCCAAATACTTTAAAGGGAGGGACTGGATTGCTCTTAAAGAATCTTGTTCTTTTTAAAATTGTATTTTTGTTTAATTTACCATTCCAATTCTGTTTTTCAAAAGATTATTTTTGTAAAATCTCAGGTTTCTTAAGAACAATCAACAATGAAGGGAACCTATCTAAGATTAACTATTTAGAATGCTTCAACAGTAAAATAGCCATTAATTGATTCACATGGTAATTCAATATACAAATGATGAAAAATATATTTAATTTAAACCAAATTGTTTAATGATGTAATAACAATAAATAAACTCTTTCGGTTCTCAATTAGATAGGGGACTGACTTTCAATCGGCACATCAAAGACAGGGTAGCTAAAAACCAAGCTGCGATAAAAACTCTCTATCCCCTTCTAAACAGAAGGAGCAAAACAAACTTCTGATCTTCAAATCCATCCTAAGACCGATCCTGACATATGGATGTCCGGTTTACTGCCCAATGGCCAATTGTCACTTTAGTAAACTGCAAATTGCACAGAACAGATGTCTTCGGCTAGCACTGGGCTACGACTGCTATGCAAGAATTGAAGACATGCACATACAAACTCAGACTCCACGAATCAAGGACTATATACTCGAAACAGCCGGGAATTTCTACACGCGGTGTCTCCCCGATTATGTAAAAGATGACATCTTTAGCATATATCGCGGGGACGGCGTGCGTAGAAAACACGGCTGTTTACATTCGAAACTAGACATATACAGACACAGAAACATACAATAATTATAACAAAAATACTACAACATTCCTCCTTAACGATCCCAGACAAACTAAACAATAACCCACACCGACTAGATCTAGATACTAACGTAAACCAGTCGGACGGCGGACTGAACGGTAGACTGGCCATCGGAGCAGCGAGCGCGAAACCCGCGATTGTTGCCTCGATGGACGGTGTATCGAGCAATCTGCCTGTGAGTTGTATTACTGAACTATAGACTAAACAAACAACTGTACACACAAAGACAACCCTGTTTTTTCTAGCGTTTTCAGGGGACAAAAACCATAACTCAAACGCGACATATCATTTAACAAATTCCCGTTACCGATCCCATAATTATCATAATCCCTCAATAATATCGCATGGTAAGGAGTAAGGGCCGTAATATTTGATCATTTTTTATCAGAATAAGGGGTAGATATAGGTTGGACAAGTCCGGGCGGACTCTAGACCACCACGAAAGGAGAAGATCCCGGTAGTGTTGAAATACTATTCAATATTCTGAACATGTAGATAAATTTTAACGTTGTAAATAAAATCCTTGTCAATGTCAACAATAAATAAACTAAAACGTAAAAACTGGATATATGTATTGTTTTAAGTCCTTGAGGTTGGTATTTATTTTTTTAGATTGGAATCCCTCTTGGTTTGGTTATGTTTCAAAGTATCGGTGAACGTCTCAACAAGTTTGCCTCAATCGTAATTAGACAAATAAAAAAGTATCTCAGTTGCAAAAAAATTGAGGCTACGGAAATGAATTTAATGTTCGCTACAGGAATGTTGTCTTCTATTATTATTACAACTGGAGCTGCAGTGTTTTCCCGTTATGAAGGCTGGACATACTTTGATAGTTTTTATTATTGTTTTGTTACTCTTACCACCATAGGTTTTGGGGATTATGTTGCGTTGCAGGTGAGGCGTGGAATATTTTTTATTTGTTACTATTTAGTAATATTTCACTTGTTGACTTTTTTAGAATGATAATGCACTAATTGAGAGACCAGGATATGTTGCTTTGAGTTTGGTTTTCATTCTTTTTGGCTTAGCAGTTGTTGCTGCCAGTATTAATCTACTTGTTCTTCGTTTCATGACAATGTAAGTATTTTTTTTTTAAATATATATCATTTCAAGTACTTCGCTTTCATATTTAGTAGATGTTCCTTCTCTCCAAGATTTCCCAAAAATCTGGCCTTTTATGTATGAGTTATGTACCTGTGAAACACTCTGTAGATCTGATGTTGTTATTGTTCGCAACCAGGACATTTTTCACAATATTCTTTTGTAGTAGCCCAATATTTCTCGTGATAATCCCATAAATAAGTAACCAACACAAGATTTTTTATTCGTGATCTTTTTGTGAGACATTAAGAACTTTTAAGTAAAAATCGAAAATGTATAATCTGTAAAATAAAAAAATATATACCTCTTCCATCACCTCCATGATTTATGGGCGACTCTGTATATTCTGCATTTATTTTAAGGAATGCTGAAGATATTCGTCGCGAAGATCAAGATTTGCAGTCGTCGTCTCATCACGTTTTGACATTAGACGGAGAAGTTATGGCGGTAAATGGAAAATTATTATCGGGACATCCTTTGGTGTTGGGAGGCGAAATCGATCAGATGTCTGTTTGCTCTTGTAATTGTTTAGGATTAAATCATGGAGAAAACGAAGAACTGCTGTTGGACGGTAGTTATTATCCTTCACATACAGTTTTAAATTCGGGTTTAAAAATAAAGAGAGCTTCAGTGTGACATTTCTAGACATGAATTGAAAATCTAGGAGTATTCTAAATTTAGATGGAGATTAAAAGGTATATGTAGATGAGAAAAAAATTAATATTAATATTGTTTTAAGAACCATATTTAATGCTTTGTAAATTCTTTGACACAGCAGAGGTTTAAATATTAGATTGTGCATCAATTGCATTAAGTATACTTTTTTTAGAACTGCAGAAACAAATTAAGGGAGTGAAGAAAGTTAGAATTAATTGTCCTAATTCATAATAATATTGATATTCTAGTCAATTTGTGTACCTATAAATTATTTTGTAAGTATCAATTTGATCTTTAAAAACCTGGATTTCGTGGATTCTATTTCAATTACGTTTTCATAAATATATATATATATATATATATATATATATATATATATATATATATATTTTCATTTCAAAGAATAATATAAATGTCTAGAATTAAAAAACGGTAATAGTAATAAATACCTATAGGAAGTTTTTAACATTTAACTATGATCAGTATTAAAATTTTATGATTAATAGTACCGAAAATATTCATAACATTTTATTTACATAAAACATTAAGGCAATATTGCTTTCTTTAATCTAAAGTATTTCTATTTTTTTCTGAACTACTTTTTTGTATTATAAACATTATTTTTAAGGAAAGAACTTATACACACTGTGAATGCGATATATTATAGATAATTAGAATTAGTAAATTAAAGATATTTATTTCTAGTCATTTTAAAATTGGTCCAATATTTATTATATGTTTTTATTTATTTGTACGTTAAATATATTACTTATACAAATATTTTCAAGTCATTTATTCTGTACATAAGTCAGGTATTCCTTATTCCATTGGGCTTCCTCAAGGGAGCGTATAGGGAATGCCTCTCAGCTCGTCAAAACTCCTGCTTTCCCAAAGTGGTTGATAACGTCGTCGAGAGGTGTCTCTAGTGGCGCTTTTAGTCCGAACATAGAATCTCGACTTTTTGGTTTGACGCTATCAGATCTCGAGTATCTTGCCTTTCAATTTGCGGGACACAATAAAATGGCTAACAACTTTAATCAAAGAGACAATAGGACAGGAAAGGACTGGGTAAAACGGTTTCTAAGACAACTTCCTGAACTCTCTTTACGGATTCCCGGGCAGCACGGGCTTCTGCTTTTAACAAAGTTAACGTTAATAAGTTTTATGACCTTCTTGAAGGATTTTACGAATCTCATCACTACACTCCTGATAGAGTGTACAATTGTGATTAAAGTGTGCCGAACAGACCGTCAAAGATAATATCTCGAAAGGGGAAGAAGCAAGTGGGTGTTTTGTCATCAGCTGAAAGAGGAACTCTAGTGACGGCCGAAATTTGCTTCAGCGCTACCGGACACTACCCCGAGAGTTCGAGCTAATCCACTGTTTGAAAAAGGTCTTCACAAACACGAAAGTTTTTACGCATCTGTCCAGGTGGATGCAGCTGAAGAGCGTGTTTTGTTAATTCTCGACGGACATGCTACGCACATCAATAATCTAGAAGTGATGATGTTGGCAAAGGAAAATAATGTTGATATTTTAGTACTACCTCCACACTACACTCACCGCTTGCAGCCATTGGATGTAGCGTTCATGTTCTCTCTCAACTTACTATGAGCAGGCTGTAATAGTATGGCCGAGAGAGCATCGTCACTATTCACGAAATTGGACACCTTTTTAGTGAAGCATATATAAAGGCAGCCACCTTACAAAATGCACTTTCAGGCTTTCAAAGAACCGACATATACCCTTTCCAACGGGTTTTTCCTGATAATGCTTTCTCAGCAGCTGAAACAACTAATCGTTCACTTAGCAATGAAAACCTACCTACAACCTCAGCTAATGAAACAACTAGTACTATAGTGTAGTAAATAAACTGTTTAGGTGAGTCACAGTTGAATAGATTAATGCATTATCTCTATGCACAATCTACCAAGGAAAAAAAAAACGCAAAAAAGTACCAAACCTTATCAGATGACAAAAAACTTTAGGTGAAATAAAATAAACACCCATAAGGTCTATTCTCACTATAGCTCAAGCCACGATCAAGTCACGGTCGCATCAAAAATGATTTGTCATAATTTTAATGCGTTTAAATTAGATTTCTTTTAAACCATTCACACATACCGGTCATCGAACAAGCAAGCCACGGTCAAGTCACAATATTTGACCGGACCGTGACTGAAAACGATCTTAAACATACTGAAAGTTTTTGAGCTGGAGAAATCGACAAAAATATGTTTTGAAATTCTTCAATTTTCATTGTATAATAAACAAAAAAATTGGTTTCATCATTCATAAGTTTTTTATGCAACGTCAAAAATTCGTCATCGATTTTTCTTTGTACCCAAAATCTTCTTTTTCTCTTATTTTTTTTGTTATTCTTCTTCCGCATCCAAAAGAAGTGCGATTTTAAGTTGAAAACATTTTTTAAGATCGCGGATCGCGATGCTGCAAGCAAAATACTCTCACAAAACAATCATGCCTACTGTACGTTGGAAAAACTGGTCGAATATGATGATGACATGACCAGATAGTGTGAATGCTTTCAAAAAGATTTGATCGTGACTTGACCGTGCCTTGTCCAGCTAATGTGGATAGACCTATACTTTCTACTAAGCAATCATACAAATATAATATCCAGTGGCGTACCTACATTTAATTTATAAAATAAGAAAAATGATTTAATAAAAAAAATGGCAATGAAATGCTCACAGTGTAAGATTATTCATCAGACTACAAAAGAACAAAAATATCCACGCTCTATATGTGATGGATGTAGAAGATTATACTGCAACCAATGTTTTGAATTCTCAACCACAGAAATTAGGTGTATACCCAGACAACACACCAAATCCCAGAGATATCCACAGAATATCTTTTGTGGATATCCAATATATCCACAGGATATCAGAAATATTCCGTGGATCTAATATGGATATCCAAATGTCCGTCTCTATCCAGAATATAGAAGATATCCTATGGATATTCAGCAAAATATCTAATGAGTATCTTCCAGACAATACAAGAAATCCCAGAGATATCCACAGAATATATTTTGTGGATATCCAATATGGATATCCAACCAAATGTCTGTCTATATCCCAGGATATAGAATTCAGATATTCAGCAAAATATTTTATAGGTATCTTTAGTAGAGGTTCATAATCATAAGTAACCAATGATTATTGAATAACGTTGAAAGAAAATAGAGATATATTTCCAACAATCTGCCTTTGATTTTACCCACTAAGGAGAAAGTCATCCTTATTAGGACTCTTCAGCAATAAATGGAAATTCTCGACTCCAGTCTCTAATGGAGTCTGACTCAATTACGGCGGGTTGAGCATGAGTAGATACGAAAGTGGTATCGCCATCTATACTTAGAAAGCAAAATCAAAAATTACATCTAGTGGATATCCACGATGGTTTGCGTCCGCGTTTAGACTTTGATATATTTAGTGAATGTCCATGGGATATTGAATACACCTTAAAAAAATTAATTTAAATATCTGAACGGACTATTAGCCACAATGACGTAATTTTTTAATAATTTGCTATATAACTACTATTATTTATGGACACTTGCATGTCTATAAATTACATATCTCATGAATATAAAATAGATATCCACCATGGACTGGACATTGGGATGTCCAGTAGATATCCAAAGGATTTGGTGTGCTGTCTGGGTTTGATCTTGCAAGTCGTTCTCTTTTAAACATGTTAAAGTGGTATTTGTACCTAACTTATGCTAGAAAAAAAATATGTTTTTATATTTTTATGTCTAGGAGCGTTAGATATTTGATTCCTATTAAATATTCGGAAAATTCCCTTTGAGGTTGATCGACGCCCTATTTTAATTTGCAAGTGGTTTTCTTTAAAGTATATTGTAAGTTGTATTTGTGCTTATTAACTTGTGTTAAAAAATAAATATGTTTTTATGCATAGAAACAGATCGAGATGGTTTATTGCAACTATTTTTCCTTTGGGGGTTGATAAACACCCTATTTAATCTTGGAAGTCGTTCTCTTTAACATTAAAAGTGTTATATTTTCCTACCTTACCCTAGAAAATATTTATGGTTTTATGTCTAAGAACCGATATATGATTTTGCAAATTACAAACAATAGATCATGACATTTATAGAGGAGAAATGTAAAGTATTTTTTTTTAACTACTTGCCTTGAGCACAAAAAGGTACTAAAGCATAAAAAATAGCACTGAGGTACTAATGACCAAAGAGCACTAATTTTAGTACTTTACCATTAATTCTGGCAACGGTGGACGCCACTGACAATTTTCGGAATATTTGTCGCTAAGTTCACACCGATCTCGAGACAATCCCCTTATTTGTTATTATTTTTGAAATAATAAGTATTATTTGCATTTTCTAAAATAGTTTTATGCTAATCTTACCTATTTCAATTTTAACAACAAAAAAGGTATATCGAAATTTGAATAAAAACTAGTATTACTGTATTATATGTTTCTATGATTCAGCGCTTTGACCTTATATTCACCTAGCGAGCGAACGTAGAGAAAATAGTTTTGAGCAAAATACCTTACGAAAGGAAGTTCGTGTCTTAGGTAAATAGATTAAATATAAACTTAATCTTACCTTGTAAGTTTTCGTGACCATGGTCCATCATCGTTTCCATTTAAAGACGTTTTATTTTTTTTTGTCGTTTCGAATTCACAGTTCCAGTTTTGTTAATTAGCAATTCACACAAGTTTAATAGTTTTAAGACTGCACACAGACGTTTATTCACTTTTAATTTTATTAAGAATTTGAAAGTTTTATCGAAGAACCGACGCCGTATTTTTTTTAAGTCGATCTACGAAAATACGTGATAGCATTCAGATCCTACGTTTGAAATGTAATAAACTTGGCCGCGGGTTGATAATAAAGTCTAACAGATTAAATATCCACTCAGGATTATTTAATAAAAAATCAGGATTCACTTTTGAATTCAAACAAAACTATACCCTTCACAGAACAATGAATAAAAAAAATGTCAACTGTCATGTCATTGTACAGTACCAACTTAAAAGATTAAATATTAGTTAAGACATTTTATAGAGGTTCTAACAATTGTAAATTCGCCCCGTTGCCCAATTTTTGCATTTTAGTGTTAAAGTAATTAAGGTATTAGGTAGATGTCTTAGAATATATAATATAGCCAGAAAGGAGGAATCTTAAACGACCTTGGAATCGCGATATCTAATTTTGACAGTGAACTAGACCAATATGGCGACAAGTGTTTCCGGTCTACCAGTGACGTACTGTCATAAAGGGGTGTAGAAAAGAAAATAATAAATTCTCATTTACATATTATCTAAATTTACCGATTTCTCTCATAATTTTTACTTTAAAATTGTATGTTGGGTGGGATAAATGTAAGAAAATATTTTTGGGATAATTTATAGAGGGATTTCATTTGAAAAATCAAAGCAATAATGTATTAAAAAAAATATTGACTTTTTTAATCTACATTTTACAAATTATTAAGATTTGAAAAATAAATGTTTTGTAGATACGCGTTAATAGTTATTTATGCAACAAGTGCAAAAAGTAAGTGTGTATTGCACGCGACGTGAAATTGTCCAACGAGGCCGTTAGGCCGAGTTTGGCAACTCGTCGAGTGCAATAAACATATTTTGCACGAGTTGCATACAATATTTTTTCTACGTTCATGCAAAAACCAAAGAATGTTTTATAGAACTGCAGTTGTATTATCCAAATCATAGTAGCCGTGATCGTGTACCTTTGTTTGAGGCATTTATTTACGTTTTGTGTTCATAATTTGTAATGACATTTTTAATAAAATACATTTTTTTATTAAATGATAATATAAAATATGCAATTGTTTTTAAAACGTAACACAGAAAATGAAAATGGACTAAATATTTGACATTGATTTGAATATTTATGTTTGTCATGATCATAAAACGCTGTAGTAAAATGACAGATGAGTGCAATAAAGAACCAGTTTTTTCACTAAATATAGTTTTGTTTTTTGCATGAACGTAGAAAAAAATTAAATATCCTATACTTATATTTAGGTCAAACACCGCTGATATTTCTTTCTTAGATGCTTTTGTTGGAGTACATATAAAACTTCCTAATATCGAAGAGAATTTCTGATCATTTTATTACATAATATTATTAGTAATATATTTTGCAGGACAATTTTGCATAAGCAGGTAAAACACCTTTCCAAGAAAGAATCATATAACGTAATAATGATTCTATGAGTGCAAAATAGCTTATTTTTAAATGTACATTCAACGCATTATTTGTATGCTTAGTCCAGTTATGATGAGAGTCAATTTATACTCTAATATATTTGATATCATTTGTAATACTTATATGAAACTACTGAACGTTACCTTTTATTGTTTCTATAGGAAGAGGCCATCTTTTTGTAACTGTACAATGGAACAACATAAGTTTTTCAGGCCATCTATCTAAAATTAGTTAATGGGGATTTTTAATAAATAAAACACACTTTTTGGATTTTTAAAACTTTGTTTCATCCTTTCATGCACCCCTCTGAATAAATACTGTCCGAGTTTGCCATATAAATCCGAATACCACACTCGCCCATTGATAAATTAAATCTATTTTTCTGGTCGAATGCATTTTGGATAACTAAATCCTTCGATAAAAGTTGTCTATTAGAAAGTATGGTTAAAATTCAAATTCGCCTGTTACCAATAATACATTCGTTACGGCTTGACCAATCGCTCGTTTACCAGGGAGATTCGGACATCACGTGTTATTATCTAGTGGTTGTTGAAGATTAGCTGTATCGCGGAAAGAAAGGGTGACGTAATCATCTCGAGGAGTTTTCTAAAATTCTTGTCCTATACATATTTTGTTTAGCCGTATTCGAGATATTTGTGAAAAAAAGTGCAGACAAAAACGCCAAATTTTAGAGCTTTATATCCATCTTGGGGTACTTTATAGGGAGTATGTATTTATTTAGTTCATCCTCTAAATATTTGCAGAGGAGATACAATAGGTTGTACAAAATAACCAGAAAAAGCGTATTTTAATTATCTTCATTGTTTGACTCTTGTATTTTTACTTGACTATGTATTCTTTTTTTATACCTCTTTATTTATAAAGCGAAAATTTTAAACATATTAAAATCTCTAAAAAAAATTGTTGTTACTGTCTAATCACGTGACTAACATCGAAAAATTACCAGTGCAATCACTTCCAAGGTACTCTGGAGGAAGTTTTCCATAAAATTACCTTTTCAATGATGTACCTAACGTACTTGGTACTTTCCCTATTTAAATTGTTATTTATATTTATGTATTAAAGCAATTAAGTTCGATTGGTATTTTTAATAGCAAGTGGCCCCTAAAAAATGTATGTGATGACTAAAAAGATAGACATATTCTAGATAACTATATACATCTCTTAATTAAATTTAATGCTATTTAAAAAAAAGGAAGTAAGAATAATTATACTCTCAGACAAGCGCGATTTTTTCCATAGCCTACCTAATAAACATTTTTTGCTTATAAATTAAAAAAAAATCAAGGATAAACTGAAAAAAGTAATTTATTTGCTTTTAATAAAATATCTATTTTTTTAATTGAAAAATTCACTTTAAAGGTAACAAACACATTATGCTTAATACATTGTTTAAAACATATAACACACATTTAAAATATAATAAATCCTAAAATTTTAATTTCAATATACTATCGTGCTCTTTAATCTCATCAATATTGTCTAAGTTGTCCCACCAAAATCGCAATCTGTTCTTTAAAATCAATTGAAACCAAGGAGTTAAAGGTCCATTCAATGTAGGAATGTACTCGTCTAATTCAGTTCTTGGTACGTAACTAATTTCAGATATTTCATTCGCATTGGGTTTAATTTTGACATCCGCTTTCAAAAACAAAATGTAATCAATCTCATGTTCGCCCCATTTTCCGTTGCCTTCATCTTTATAATGTATTCTTGTGATATATTCGAGATTTTCTAAAGGTACACTATCTGTTGGTATGCCAAGTTCGTAATTTAGTCTACGCCTTGCCGCCTTTTTTATACCTAAAGTACCTTCTTCCTCTCCTGCGAAATCTGCTATTGGATGACTGCAGCAGGAATTTGTGTAACAATTCGGATAGCTAATCTGAAATAAATGGTTAAATATATATCGAAAATAAATATACAATAATAATATAGTTAATAATAATATAGTTAATAATAATATAGTTAATAATAATAATAGTTTATTCAAAATATTAATATAATACAATACTATAAGTATAATAGATATATGACAAAATAACAAACTATTATTACAAGTTACATCAATTCTTTTATTGTCAAAAGGACCTAAGCGTGTTTCTCGGCTACTACTAGTCCGATTCAAACGGAAAAAACGGCATAATGAACCTTAACGATTTCCCATGTTAATTAATATGAGGAATTAGGCCGAACTCTTGCAGTACCTTTACTGTTAAACTTATTAATTCATAATAAAATATCAAAGAAATAAATCGCAGTGAATAAATTACAAGTGAAAGGTGATTTGATAGAAGATCCTAAGACATCCTTAACATCCATTTTACAGAAATAGGTAAAGCCTTAGCAGAAAATATTCCAAAGTCTACAAACCTTCAGCGACTTTATGAATGGGAGTTAACTACCCCTGAAGAAATTAACAAAATAATGTCAGAGCTAAAACCAAGAAAAGCCTGCAGTGCTGATGATATTTTTGGGGACATGATCAAATATTTTAAAAACGGTATTCTTAGGTAATCTATTGTACCGCTGCGGGTTGAGTTCGATTAAATGGACTGTATATAAAACATCAGCAGTTACAGATATGATTAGCAACATCAGACATCATATTGATGAAGGTTATGTATGTATAATTGTTTCACTTGACTTAAAGAAGGCGTTTGATACTGTTAACCACTTACTACTGTTATCTGTTTTGGAATTGCAGGAAATACATTGTCTCAAGTATGGTGTACCCCAGGGATCAGTTCTTGGACCAACGTTATTCCTGATTTATTTGTTTATTACTTCCCATTGCCCAGATACAGTTCTATTAAGTTTTAAATTTGTTTGTAAATTACAATAATTGCCAAATACCGCCTATTGTATTTAAAGCTTCAGCTGTAGCTGAATATCTTAAGAGTCAATTTAAAGTAGATAATTTTTAATTTTATTCATATTTTAATGTAGCAAGCAGTTGGTAACTTGTTTTTATTACTTTTAGGTTATTAGCATTAATATTATTATTCCATATGATCTTCATGATCAATTAATTTAAATAAATGCTCAACTTGAGTAGCCCAGTTATATTTTACATCTCCAGAGTTAATCAGATGAAGCTGCCTATTAAAACAAAGCTTGGGATAACGATTGTCATTCATACTTAAGATTTTATTTAGCCAGTCATTTTTAATACATTATGCCACTCTCTAATCTTATTGAACAGTCAGGTGTATTGATAGGAACAGCATCCTCTTCAGTAGCGCGCTCCAGTGATAAAAAAACGCTTTTTATCTCTTATTAACTGTTTTAATACTTACTAGCTATATATTCATGTTTATTTGTCTTTTATGAAACGAGGTAAAACTAATGTTTTAAAATTGGAAAAACAAGGTTAAAAAGAAGGTCAAATATAAGCTATTGATAAGTATATAAAAACAATTTACTTGACATTGAAAAAGTGTAATCCAACATTGTCTTAAAGTTGTTAAAATAGTTCATATAAGGTTTTTTATGCAGACAGAGGCGTAGCAAGTCAAATAATTACAAGGGATACGTTATATTTAATCACTTTTAAGATATACAGATAAATAAGATGTAGTAGCAAGAGAAAAAGGAAGGTGTATGAATTATATAGTCTACAAACAGGCTTTTGGAAGTCCAGAAGTCATTATTAGTCACTCTCATTAGATATTTAGAGAATATAATAAATTTTCGCTATTAAACTAATAGGAAATCTTGAAAAATACATCATAATAATAACACAAACTTGGGAAACATAACGGAGTAGTTACATGTTTGGAAAAACTGAAGGACACAGTAAATTTGAAAAACATTTAAACAAATTTTCAGGAACTCATTATGAGTTTATTTTCAATAAATAAAGATACAATTTAGTTAATAAGTTCCAGGAACAAGTGGAGAAAAAATAAACAGGAAAAGACCTGGCACATAAAAGAAGAAAAATTTGAATTAGAAAGGATTCGAAACTTAACAATGAAAACCATTATTTTATAATAAATTTTATCTATGAATATTTTAAATAATTCATTATTTATTTACATTTTTTTAAATAATCAACACTTTATGCCCACATGTTTATAGGAATCAAGAAAGATTACGCCTAATATTTGTCACGTCACTGCCATAAGTTTTTCAAAATTAAAAAGATCAAGAACAAGTTTTTTTTTTTTTGTTAAATACATTTTTTCTCGTAATTATACATAATGCAAATATGCAAGGATGTATTAATAAAACATGTGACATAATTAATAAAGGTTAATAATTTAATTGTAGTTAAATATATGACAAATTGATGTTAAACTTGCTAATGTATAATATGTAATTATTCGTCTTCTTCTTCTTTTTCTATAATATAAAAATGTGTTGGTATATAAGCGTATAACTCAACAACGCCTGGACTAATTTTACCAATTCTTTTTTTTAAATGTTCGTTGAAGTCCAAAGATGGTTTTTAGGGCGAGAAAAATTCGAATAATTTCCGGAAAACCCTAAAAACAGTCTTTTTCTTTTTCCCATATATCTATATATATAAAAAATAAATCCCTATTTCCCTTAGTCACGGCATCACGCGTGAACGGCTGAACCGATTTCGCTAATTCTTTTTTTATTGTGTTTGTTATTGTCAGGAGAAGGTTTTTATGAAAGAAAAAATTAAGAAAATTGCGAGGAAAATTAGAAAATTTCTATATATATAAAAATGAATCCCTATTTCCCTTGGTTACGGCATCACGCGTGAACGCCTGGACCGATTTCGCTATTTCTTTTTTTGTTGCGTTTGTTATTGTCAGGAGAAGGTTCTTATGAAAGAAAAAATTAAGAAAATTGGGCGGAAAATATGAGGCACGCGCCCCTCGATATTCATTTAGATACATTTTTTTTTTTTCGTTTTGATGTGCCAAATTTAATGTCTACAGACAGAAGGTTGTAAAATTGTATTCATAACCAGTTAGTTTGTGATATGGAACATTGTAGTTAATCTTATGCCTTGTGTCATGGATTTAAACTCTTCTAAATAATAATAAACAGAAATGTAATCCACTTAAATATGTATAATGCAGGAATTGTAAGTAAGTATATTTAGGGATTTAAAATGAGTTATACAATACTCAGAAAACCACCAAACAAATTAGATATGTGTTCTAAACATTCATAAGGAAAACAAACTGATACAAAAAACAAATTCCTCTGTTCTAAAAAGTATTCAGTTTGAGTTTGAGGACAGAATTTTAACTTGTATTTTGAAAGTAGAATAGAATTATTGTTGAACTATTTTTTGAATTTAAGTTACTCAAATTAAAATATTTTTCAAGAACTAGAAAATAAATCAAGTTCTGAACTAATAGATAAAAAGCCTTTAAAAAAAATCTATGTCTTGCTTTGCTTTATAAATATATCACTTGAATGTGGTAAATTTCCTAATGATTTAAAAATTAAATTAAAAACACTAATAAAGCTAGTGAATTTCGACCTATTAACACTTTACCAGACATGGACAAATTCCTAGAAATAGCTGTATACAGACAACTTGTTGAACATATTAATAATAACAAAATACTTATCACCAATCAATCAGGTTTTCGATAGGATCATTCAAGTGAATCAGCTTTGCAACTAAATGGACCCAATGTATTGACAATTGTGACTTTATAGTAGCAGTTTTCTTGGATTTGACAAGAGCTTTTGAAACCATTAATTAATTAATTAATATTGATTAAACATTTTGAACCTATTGGAATCAAGGGAACTGTTTTGACATGGCTTAAAACATACTTAAACAATCAATAACATATTACAAAGGGGAATCATGTCTTAAATCCTGTTAATTTGAAATGTGATATACAAGGAAGTATACTAGGCCCCTTACTTTTCTTAATTTATATTAATGACATTGACTGCCACCAAACATGTGATTTTATCAACTTTTAATTATTTTTATTTTTTTTTATACAAAATTTATAAATTTTCTAGATTTTGAACCTGCCCAGTTTTGAGATTTGGTAGTTTTAGAATATTTTTGGAAATCCATATACTGGGTGTTTCCATATCAAGACTTTATCTCCCCTTACATTTAATAAATAAAATAAATAGACCTTTTTAGGTCACAGTATCTGTAACATATGGAAAATTGGTTGCCTCACTAGACCCATGAATATTCCAATTAGGTCTATTAGCCTACAAATACGCGGCAATCTATTAAATACCCCATACATAATATAAACAATAAACATATTAAGCAATACTCACTTTATTAGACGATCTCTTTTGTAAAAGTAAATCTCCTTTCTTATTGAATAAAAATACACTAAAAGCTCTATGTAAAGGAATTTCGCCACTTTTTTGCACCCTATGGCATTCCATTTTAGTGCCCCTTCCAATGATCTTATCATTTTCATCTACTAAAAAACAGGTTTCTTTTAATGATGCTTCCTGTAATGGATCTAAATTTTCCTTAGCTGCCGAAGTACTGGAAAAAGCTCTTCCCAGTGATCGCTTAACTGAACATCTGAGGATGGTTAACATTTTGTAAAGTGCTAAAATAAGTTTAAATAAATAAAAGGAGAAAAATTAAGAGATCAACATACAAATTATGGAGCAATTTACTTTCTTATACTTATTCTAATGTTACGTTTAGTTGTGCTATTTGTAAATTGTATAGAATCTTGTAATTGTTATTTAAATTAGTATGAGGTACCTTTAAAATATACGCAAACGAAAATTTTAAATTATGTCTCTATTAGGCTAAATTGATCAATAATTGAAATATTTATAAATACAAATTTAAAAACTTACTTCGAAAAAAAAACACTATGTATATGTACGTTGTAAAAACACTAATGAAAATTTAATATTTAATATTACTTTTTTTTAATCAAAGAAACAAACCAAAACCAATCACATTGGCGATCACAGTCACGTCATGTCACGTCTCACAGAACACTCACTCTTCACAGAACACCACAACCAGAACCATTTTCGCGCATGAGTCCACAAAACACAATGGAGAACAAGTGTTTCCGGTCTCCAGTGACGTACCATCATAAGAGGATAAAAAAGAATAGTAATCTTATTTTCACATTATGTAAAAATACGTTGTTTCTCTTATTTTAACAAAAAGATATTTTCTCGAAGAACAAGTAGTTTATATGTATATTTTTTTTTAATTAGCCACCCATGTGTCCATTAATTTGACTTTAAAACTGCGTGCTTAGATAATATATTGACAGATAGGCTACCCCTGTATAAATCTATCAATATTGATGTCGCTCTAATAAAATCATTATTTCTTTTTCTAATGCAGGCTTTTTCGCTCATATTAGAATCTTCCGCAGTAACGTACGTAAACGGATTGCATTGGGTTATTTTAAATGTGAAAATAGTGACTGCAAATAGATTAAAAAAGTACAAAATAATGTTTTAAAAGATAGGCACGTTTTTTTTGAACTGAAAACAAAATATGACATTATTGTCATGTCAAAAAATATAATAAATATTCTATTGCTTCTAAAATATGTAGAATTACAGCAAGGATTTGGAATTCTATGAAATATCTATACTTGTTGAAAAGCTATACAATGGTAGAATTGAAGAAATACATAAATCATTTAATTAAAACATGACAAAATATTCCTGGTAAGAATAAAACAAACCAATATATATTTACCTATTTAGCATAAGTAGAAGTATTCCAGGATATTAAAAAAATATATAGGAATTTAATTTACTTTTCTACTCTCTTCGTTTAAAATATAAATTATCTAGTTATTTTATTTAAATTAGGTAACTAAATATTCTTATATTACTAATGATAGTTTATATTTTAGACCATGTACAAATATATACAGTATGCGTCCAAAAACTAATAATTTTTTGATATTGCACATACTTTTTCACTCATCTTAATTGTGTCTAAATGTCTTATTTCTGTTTCGTAAGTTTGAAGCAGTACTGTTGGCAACAAAAAAGTCTTCGTAATGACTGATTTTCTAGAAACTTTAATGTAAAGTTAACAATATATCTAGGTTTTCTGAAATAGGTATTCATATACAATTTAATGTATCAGCTTAGATCAAATCCAATGTTTCGTTTTACTTCTGAATTAATGGTAACTCAAATTTTGTTGATGAGAATTTCAGAGTCATACACTGAACTTAATATTGAAGTGTATGAGGTACTTTTGTTCAAACTATAACTTCTTTTATTTGTTGGCAAGTTTAATACTCTTAAAGAATGCCCATAATCAAATAATTTAGTATCTGAAGAAATTACTATACTAAAAACATTCAAACATATTATTTGTTTGCCGAATTTATTAAACAATACCTTCTATTTTTTTTAGGTGACAAAGGTTCACCACTACTCTTTTTTTCCTACTTTGTTTGTGTAATACAAAGTTCCTAAAAATTAAAGATACAATTTTTAAAAGTGCTTGATATTATTTAGAAACGTACAAACTTATAAATATATGTGTTGCAACAAAGCCGTCCTCTAAAAATTGCATTGAACAAATGTAATATATTTGTTCAACTTCTAACATTTCAGTCCATTCAAGTGTCTCTAACCATAAGTTTTTTCTAATTCGTATTTTAGAACACTAATAATAATTTTATTTTTTTTAATATGCATATTTTATTTTTTTTTTCCTAAAACGACGCCCATGTTCTTCGGTAAGAAATAATATTAACGAGTGAAACGTAACCTCACTTCCTCTTTTATATTTAAAATCACAAGTCTTCCTAGTATAAAATAAACCCTACAAATCAAAATCACTTTTAACACCACCATACTTGGAACGAATTTAAGTAAAAACTTAAAAAATTGTCTAAAAATAACTGGAAAAATAAATATAGAGATATTAATCTATTTTTCTTTAATTATAATCTTTCATGCGATATCAAAGCGACAAAAAAATTGTTTACTGTCCTCTCTGTACTAGACTGCGTGTAGGGATGATTAATAAGAAATGGCTTATATTTTTTCTGCAGTTTTTATAGCTTAATAGCTGGGGGTCAAATATTAATACGGATTCTGTTAAACCAAGATAGCTTACGTAGCGCCCTCTATCCAATACTCCAAAAACTGGAGCCTATTTGGTTCTCTCAAGGTTAAAAAAACCTAATTGTATGCGTATGGGTAAAAAAATAACATTGCTGAAATATTTTTATACCTTTTAACACCTTATTGTATCTCAGTAAGTACGTATCATGATACTAGGACAAACAGATAAGGGTCAGTTTGAATTTAATTCAGAGCTGCGCGTAGTTATCACGGAAAATTTTAGAGAAATTATGTATAGGTCAAAAATTGTAGAGAATGACATCACAAACAATACTTATTAAAATAATTTTCTTCTATAAGAATAAAAAACAGAAATATACCTGCTATAAAGTATCCTCCCAGATGTATCGACTATGCTCTAATTCTATTCAGTTCATCGTAGGATGGATTAAAGCTTATGGTTAAAATTTGATATCTTTTCCGTTTATGGAGTTATCGAGGATCCAGTCACATACCCACCCAGAGAGACATCATCGCGAAAATGGTCAAAACGGATTCAGAGGACCTCAAAACATAAAGATACGTCGAAAAAAACATGATTTCCATATACTGCATACAGGAAAGTAAAAAGAATGTTTAAAAATCGAAGCCATTTGACTTTTTTGGCCTAGATCAAGTGTTTTGCAGCAGTTCATTTGAAGTATATAGAAAAGTTCTACATTTCGTTTATGTTTTCCCAGACAGCACACCAAATCCTTTGGATATCTACTGAACATCCCAATATTCACTGAATGTCCAGTCCATGGTGGATATCTATTTTATATCCATGAAATGTAATTTATAGACATGCAAATGTCCATAAATAATTGTAATTATATAGCAAATTATTAAAAAATTACGCCATTGTACTCGCCATTGTGGCTAATAGTACCGTTGAGATATTTAAAATTAATTTTTTTTAAGGTGTATTCAATATCCCATGGACATCCACTATAAATATAAATATATCAAAGTCTAAGCGCGGACGCAAACCATCGTGGATATCTACTAGATGTAATTTTTGATTTTGCTTCCTAAGTATAGATGGCGATACCACTTTCGTATCTACTCATGCTTAACCCGCCGTAATTGAGTTTGATCGACATTGTTTCACAAACAGACTTCATTAGAGACTGAAGTCGAGAAGTTCCATTTATTGCTGAAGATTCCTAATAAGGATGATTTTCTCCTTAGTAGGCAAAATCAAAGGCAGATTGTTGGGAATATTTTTTACCTCTATTTTCTTTCGACGTTATTCAATAACCATTGGTTACTTATGAACCTCTACTAAAAATAATAATAAAATATTTATCTGAATTTCTATATCCTGGGATATAGACGGACATTTGGTTGGATATCCACAAAATATATTCTATGGATATATCTGGGATTTCTTGTATTGTCTGGAGATAGTCATTAGATATTTTGCTGAATATCCATAGGATATCTTCTATATTCTGGATATAGACGGACATTTGGATATCCATATTAGTTCCACGGAATATTTCTGATATCCTGTGGATATATTGGATATCCACAAAATATATTCTGTGGATATCTCTGGGACTTGGTGTGTTGTCTGGGTTCTGTCCGAAAAACGACGGTTTTTGACTAATTCGAATAAAAACAATATTAATATGGTCATTTGAAATCCATTTTTTAATAAATATTGTGTATTACATTCGAAATAAAACTACAGTAATTTATTCTTAAAATAAAATTTTGTTTGAATTGAATTTTGCTTTATATCAGCCTTCTGCAAAATATTTATTAATCAACCTTTGGATTCTAATGAAAAACTTGTTGATACGCCATTGGATGGCCGACTTTTGACATGATATGCTCTTGAATTCCATCGTTCTGTCAATTTCTCGTGTTTTATGGATCCTTGATACTTTTGCAGGTTATGTTTGTCAGATGTCAGAATTCTTTATGAATCGTTGAGCAAGCTTGTAAGAGCTTCTGGTTCAGCGCTGTTCAATTTTGGTAAATAAATTGATTACCTCGACCAGAATTAGTTTAAAATGGTAAGTAATACAACTATTTTCGCTCCCTACCAATAATAATCTATTATTTATAACTTCAAAAGATGTATTTTGAGGTTAAGTGTTAACCGCGTGTTCATTAATCGTTTTTATTTCAGGCATCTGTTGAGAAAGGTAATCCTGAGAAACCCGGACAGGAAACTGCCCAAATTCACCACATTAGAATAACTTTAACTTCCCGGAACGTTCGTTCTTTAGAAAAAGTATGTTCTGATCTGATTGATGCTGCCAAGAAGCAAAAACTGAAGGTAAAGGGCCCCGTACGTATGCCAACGAAGATTCTACGTATTACTACCCGTAAAACACCTTGTGGGGAAGGATCAAAAACTTGGGATAGGTTCCAGATGAGAATCCATAAGAGGGTTATTGATTTACATTCCCCATCCGAAATTGTGAAACAAATTACATCAATCAACATTGAGCCAGGTGTTGAGGTAGAAGTAACCATTGCAGATGCCTAAATGTTTGTTTTATAAACTATTTTTATAAGAAATAAAGATGTTATAAAGATAGAATTGTTTTTTTTTGAGTGTTTTAGCAAATATCTAGGAAACAAAGCATATTTCAACCTGTTTATAGGAACTTTTTTTAGAATAGAAGAAGAATCTTTATTTAATACAGGAAGTCCTAATACATAATCAGTTTAATAAAAAAAATTAGAATTAGTAATAAAAGTAAGAGGTTTAGTACTAAAGTTAAAATAAATACATATTAAAGTAAACATACAAATTTAAGGACTGGAAATAAATTGTATTAAACATTTTTTAAACTGATGTAGAGAGTTACTCATTTTATATTCACTAGGCAAAGCATTAAATTCATATAATCCACATATAAAAATAGATTTTGTTGCTATAGTTAGTCTTGTTTGTGGAATATAAAAATTATTAACAGATCTTGTAGTTATGTATTTCATTATTGTAGATGATAAAAATCATTGAAGTACTACAAAAGTCATTACTAAATAATAAAATCTTGGTCTGACTGAAATCCAACTTAAAGTGGTCAGCATACCATTTATTGATGTGTATCTGTTACATCGAAGGATTATTCTCATTCCTCTATTTTGCAATTTTTGTAGTCTTTATAAAGTAATGATTCGTAGTAGTCAAAATGAGGTTGTATAATAGTTTTATACACTGTTAATCTAGAAAAAAGTGAGAGATTTGAAGCAATCCTTGAGAAGAAAAATAGCTCATTTGATATTTTTTTGTATACATATTCGCAGTGAGGTTTCAATAATAGATTTTCATCTAAAATAAATCCCAAGTATTTAAATTCATTAACCCATTCAACATTCCCGTTTTCAATTCTAATGTATCTATTATAGTTTATTTGATTTAATTTAAATTTACTTCCCAAAATCATTGCTTTCGTTTTTTACTTTGCTATCTGTATACAGATATAAGGAAAGTATAGGAATCATGATTTTTTTCGACCTCGAGTTTTCGACGGATTTTTACGTTTTGAGGTCCCCTGAATCCGTTTTGACTATTTTCGCGATGATGTCTGTGTGTGTGTCTGTATAACGCATAACTCATGAACCGATACACAGAAAAACACCAAATTTTAAACTTTGTTTCAGCGTCCAATGAGCTGATTAGATTTTGGGCAGAGTCGGAACATCTGGTGGGGTACTTTATAGGTGGTCATTTTTATATTTTATGAAATATATCTGTTATTTACGTTTGGAGAAGAAAATTCTTTAAATAAAAGTTACTTCTAATATAATTATCTATAATTTTTGTTTTATGTAAAATTTTCCTAAAATGGTCCGTATTCGAGAAATTTGACAAAATGTAAAAAAAATATATTTTTATAAAAATTGTTCAAATAAAAGTTGTTTATAATATAATTCTCTATAATTTTTATCTTATACATAATTTCTCTAAAATGGACCGTATTCGAGATATTTGAGAAAATGTGTAAATTTCGAATTTTGAAGAAAATTCAAAAACGGATAAAGAAAAAACCATTAAATTTTAAACTTAAGATTTATTTCGGCCTGACGTAAAATGATTAGATTTTGGACATAGTCGGAACATCTGGGGAGGTACTTTATGTGAGGCCGTTTTTATATTTTATGGAATATATCTGTTATTTATGTTTAGAGAAGAAAATTGTTCAAATAAAAGTTACTTCTAATATTATTATCTATAATTTTTATTCCATACAAAATTTCTCTAAAATGGACCGTATTCGAGATATTTGAGAAAATGTGTAAATTTAGAATTTTGAAGAAAACTCAAAAACGGATAAAGAAAAAACATTAAATTTTAAACTTGTAACCTACCGCACCCAGGTACTTTAATAATTTATTAATTCCTTTTATTAAATACAATATTCCATTCTTTTAAATTCAAAATTCTTTATTTAACGAAAAATCTCCCAGATAATTAAATCTTATTTACGACACCTAATAAATAATATCTATAACCACGTCCGTAAAAGATGCACGTGGCTGAGTTCCTCGAGAAAGAAAACACCATAAAGTGTATTTCTGTTTACGAAGTAATTATCATTAAAACACTTAAGTCGCTTATTTTCCTAGTTTCGATGTTCAGACCGATATCGACAATATTTCGATACACAAAACTTTCAAGGCATATAATAAATAACCCACCCCAGCACCCACCGTATTTCTATGAGAAGCAAAGACATAGAGACGTCACAAAGCCATTAAAACTTTTACTATAAAAAGCCAGACAAAAATGAGCTCGGGTCATTTCAATTTTAATTATTTGACGAGATCATTCAATTTTTATCATTTGATGTGCAAGCATACATTTTATTATCTGTACCCAGTTATATAATCTGTACCTTTCCTAAACGCTCCTCCTAAACGACGTCTATCCTACAATACCTCCTATCCCCGGCGGTGTCAACGTCTCGACGCTCAACTTCCTGCCATCCTACTCCCTACGTCTCGAACGCTGTCACATTCCTCACCATCTAAGTATTTCCTACCGTACACTCATTTCGATGCTCAACGTCCCACGCCTTATTTCCGACGCTTTGCCGTCCATAATTATTTCCTTCATAATATCACGTCCCGCACCACCTACTTAATTCTACCGTATATCTGTCCCAATACAGTACCGTATTAAATACCTTCCCTTCCATCACGACGCTAGACGTCTCGACGATGGACGCCTCGACGCCCAACCCTGCGACGTACCTACATCGACGCCTTCCACGACGCTAGATGAAATTAGTACATAATTTAATGTCTGTATTTTCAATGGTGAGTCAAAAGATTTATTTAACCTTCTTTGAGATACCACCCCGGTTTCGTTTAAGGGCGGCCTGACATTTGCTGTAAAATATTATCAATTTAACCAATAAACCACATGGCCTTCAGGTCATACACCCCGAAAGATAGGATAACATCTGTTTTGGATGGGTGAAATTTGGAGTATTTTAATAGAAATAATAAAAATCAATATTAAGAAATATACAGGGTTATATTAAGTTATTTCAATAGAAATTATAATAATCAATATTAAGAAAAATACAGGGTTATATTAAGTTATTTCAATAGAAATTATAATAATCAATATTAAAATACATACAGGGTTGTATTAAGTCATATCAATAGAAATTATAAAGATCGAATATTTTGGAAATATACAGGGTTGTGCTATCTTGGATAAATTGTACAAACCAAGATGGTAAAATTTAATAGAAAGTTAACCAACTGGCGAATACGCTGTTCGTTAGCTCAAGGGGGGACACCTATACGCTAAGCAACCCGTTCTACAAGGTGTGAAACAAAGTATATGTGAAATCAACATAGTAAGGTAATCAACTGGCGAATTGGCGCTGTTTGTTACTTCCGTTGGTTATCACCTCTATACTCATCGTAATATTTACCTAAGAGGGTGCAACCTGTATATATCTACAATAGAATCAAATCAACATCAACTCAATAGTTAACCAACTGGCGAATTGGCGCTGTTCGTTAACTCCGTTGTCAGCAACCTAAGTCAGAATATAAACAACCACACTATAGTTAATCAACTGGCGAATTGACGCTGTTTGTTAACTCTGTTGGTCATCAACTGAAATAAAATATATATTGATAGCAAATGAATATGGTCTGCGTTTGAACGGGACTCAAGTGAGATCTCAGTAAATAGTAACAATTGTAATATACTTTGCTAATTATTGCATCACATTTAAAGTATGAAAAATAAATAGAGTTTAAATATGAATTTGTATGTTTTATTTATCAATTTGCACCAAACTTTGCATCGAATTCTGGTTTACCTTAATTAACATTATCACAACGTGGGTACATAAAATATCAATTAATTAACTAGACGATCACTTCTACTACTAGAGGAAAAAGGCCAAATTACAGTAAGTATAGAATTTAAAGTAAAGTAAAACTTGTGAGGTAAATAAATAAATAACATTCAAAGTAAAAACACAAGAACAAATCAAAAGATGAGGGGGCCTGGGGCGTGGCCGTCACAAACTTAAGGTTTATTTCGGCCTGAAGTGAAATGATTAGATTTTGGACAAAGTCGGAACATCTGGGGGGTACTTTATGGGAGGCCGTTTATATATTTTATGGAATATATCTGTTATTTATGTTTGGAGAAGAAAATTGTTCAAATAAAAGTTACTTCTAATATTATTATCTATAATTTTTGTTTTGTGTTAAAATTTCCTGAAATGGTCCGTATCCGAGAAATTTGACAAAATGTGCAAAATTCTGATTTTTATGAAAATTGTTGAACTAAAAGTTGTTTGCGATATCGATCTCTATAATTTTTGTTTATACATGATTTTTCTAAAATGGACCGTAATGGAAAAGTGCTAAATTTAAATTTTTCAGTATTTTCTTTTTCAATGAATATCTTATAGAAAAATGTTTCGAGGTAGATGTATATGGAAAATGTATACATTTAGTTTATCCTTTAAACATTTATACAGGTGCTGCAATAGGTTGTACAAAATAACCGGAAAAAGCCTATAAAAACTAGATAGGAAAGTCATGTGTTGGACACATCAGATTTTTTAGTATTGTTTATTTAAAAATTCCTTTTTTAATAAAAGTAATAAAGAATATCTGATAATGCCTAAAGACTTCACTGGAATACTCTGAGTATATAAAGGTAATGCCTGAAAAAATATATGAGAATAACGAAGTATTTCTAAAAGAAAGATAAAATTTAGACAAACGCAGAGATAAAAAAAACTGCTAATTTTGCAGATAGAACCTTTCTTGTTAGCCCCGGAGTATTGCATTAATATTATGTTTGTTAGAATAAAGGGTAATATATTGAAATAAATTACTAAATTTCAATTTAAAAATTGTATAACTTATATTAATTAAAAATATTCATAAAAATTTATAACATAATTAAAATAATACATAAAAATTTATCACATAATTAAAATAATACATAAAAATTTATCACATAATTAAAATAATACATAAAAATTTATCACATAATTATAATAATACATAAAAATATATCCATTACAGAGCTGAGA